CCCCAAAACCCCAAAACCCCAAAACCCCAAAACCCCAAAACCCCAAAACCCCAATCTAGCATTGCCAAGTTGAAAATTATAGCTTCAAATGTAACTTGAACTTTATAAAATGATAAATCCTAAAGACTACAACAATTATTCTGAATTATATTCGACACAATTTACAGCATGGAGCTATCCCAGTATTAATTATAATCAATAGTTCTTTTAAATCTCCGAGTTTCCTTAATCTTTTTATTTGGAGGTTTACTTTTCCTCCTCCCAGGCTTATTAACTGTAGAGGTCCTAATTATACTTCCTGAATGCTCCTTCTTCTTGTATCGGGGTGGCTTAATAGTCTCTGTAATTTCTATAAAATCCTTAGGTGATTAGCTACCTTTGTCTCTGGATCCTCCTCAATAGCTGACCTTATTCTGCACTCAGTAATTACTTTTCGGCTCTTCCTGCTGGATCAGATTTAATTTGTTTGATAAAAAGGTGTTTTCATTCTCATATTTATTCAAATAACCCCCTTTTAAATTCTTGTATGGAACTTTATGAGTGTTAAAATTCATGATCTGGTTGTAAATCTCATTATTTTCCCCCTTCGTAGATGAATTATGATTTTTATCGCCCCTTTTTGTGTTGTAAGAACCTTCCTTTCTGGGTTTAGAAGGATGGTTTGCCTCACAGTTATCATAAAAATTATTCTCCTTATCTGACTCTGCTCTTGCAGCTATATTTGTGGTGTAAATATTTGAAGAGGCTTGGCTAGACCTTTCTGCAAAATTAGTATAATTTGTATAACTCCCTATACTGCTGTTCCTTTTACCCTCTGAGGAATTATCCTGAGCTAAGTAATTATTTCTCTGTGGAGGGTTCTTTGGGTTGTTGCTAAGGTATTTTGTCCTTGATGCTTGATGAGGTGACTTTCCGTCACTGCCAATATTTTTCATTGCTTTCAACAGATCATTATTTCGTAGCACGAGTAATAGTGAGAAAATTTGAGAGGGAATACCCCAGATTCGTGTCCAAAATAGCCTCGAGCAGCCGATCAAAGGCCTCCATTCTCTGAATATTAGCTTTACTATTCTTCTTGAAAAAGGTTTGGAACTGTAAAAGACGATTTCTTGCACCAATAGAGAATCTCATTTCTATGAGGTCCTCTTCTGTGAGTATGAAAATGTCCTCAACTTCTATCTCGTTCCTCCTTAAAACATGGTAATATTTATCAATATGCAATGCGGATCATATAATCTCAAGGGTTAGAAGCGGTTCAAAGGTGTTCTTCTTCGGACCAAACTCCATTTCATCTTCTGTGGTGACATTTCTGGCATCAGAAGTCTCGCTCCTTCCGTAACTAAAATTTTCAGTTTCTTCTGGTACAAACTTTTTCAACTTTACACTAACAGGTTTAAAATCAACCCCTTCTGAGCTATTTATCGAATCATAAACAGGGCTCGTAGGCCGATGGAACTTAAATTGAGGCCGGTCCTCAAAGCCATGCTTCGGATTAGAATTGGGAGGATTGTCCCTTCGACTAGTGTTCTTAGCAGTCTTATAAGTCTTACGGCTATTCAAACTTTTTATCTGTTTAGACTCTCTCTCAGAGCTAACAGAGTTATTTATGAGAGGTATATTTATCAATAGCTCATTTAGTGCTAGATATCATCTTCGATGCCTTATCTAAGACCCCATAGAGATGAGGGTTATCTCTTTCCATTCCTGGAGAGTTTGGTCACACCCTCAGATTGGTAGACTTGGGAGGTCTTATTCTTCTATTCATATTTCTAATTTGAATTATAACGTTTCTTGCTAATTGGGGTTTTGGGGTTTTGGGGTTTTGGGGTTTTGGGG